TAACCAGAAGGTACTTTGTGTATTCGGGGTATGTACAGAAGCGTGGGTGGGAAAAGAAGAAAACATAAGAAAAGCAGAGTCAACAATCCAGTAAGCGCGAAACATGAACTTACATTCATTAAGGAAAGCATCAAGCAACAATAACACAAACTTCAGAACAAGAAAATCATGGAACTGAAATTAGAAGCAGGTAGTTTAAATGATTCAAATGGTTGTGGACGGAATAGAAGAAGCTTTCGCTTAACAGGCTTCCGTGTCTAGTAGCAGGGGATCACCAAATCCTCCAGGCAGTAACCTAGGTATGTTAACAGTAAAAGAGGAAAAGAAATTGGTAAATCATAATGTGATGCTGTCCTTGGTCCTTAAGAATAGGTCAAGTTGCCTCTTGAAGGACTCCTGAGAAGTCGCTTGGACTAGCTCGGCCGGCAGCGAGTTCCAGCTTTTGACAACTCTTAAGGAGTAGAAGTTGTGTCTACATTCCGTCTTGCTATGTTGTGTTTCCAGTTTCTGGGTGTTACCCCTTAGGTTATTATTCGAACTAAGCTTAAGTAGGTGTTTAAGAGGATGTCCAGAAGTGTTAAGAATACTATAAGCCATTAATAAATCACCTCTAAGACGCCTATATTCTAGTGGGTAAAGGTCTAGTGAACGGAGGCGTTCTTCGTAAGGCTTAGATTTGAGTCCTCGAACTGATTTCGTGGCTCGCCGTTGGATACGCTCCAAAGTGACCTTGTCCTTTTGGAGTGAGGGGGGAGTACTATGTTTCCGTACTCTAAATGGGGACGGATGAAACTATTGAAGATTGTGTGGAAAGTTCTTCCGTCAAACTGGCCAAAAATGCGCCTCAACGTTACCAGTGCAAGGTTTGCTCGGAAGGCATTTTTGTCACAGTTAGCGTAAGACTTCAAGTCATGGGGCACCAGGACTCCTAAATCTTTTTCGACTTGGGATACTACTAGAGAGGAGTTTCCTAAGTTGTAACTGTAGTTTGCGACATGTCGCAGATGGACTACTTTACACTTTGAAGTGTTAAAGGTAAGTCCGTTATCGTCTGCCCAACTTCGAGTCAGATCCTCTTGAAGTGCCTGTATATCGTCTTGGTTGCGTATCTCTCTCCAAAGTTTCACGTCGTCGGCAAAAAGTAATAAGTCTGACGTTACCTGTTGAGGAAGATCATTTATGTAGATCAAGAAGAGAAGAGGCCCTAGTACTGAGCCCTGGGGGACCCCACTAGGACATTCCATAGCTTGAGATAAAGTGAAATTAACCCTAACCTTAAAGTGTCGATTTTTTAGGTATGAAGTAAGCCAGTCGATTAGAGGTGGTTTGATACCTAGTCGTTTGAGCTTGTTGATAAGACACAAGTGGTTAACCTTATCAAAAGCTTTTGAGAAATCAAGGTAAATGACATCAACCTTTCCCTTGCGATCGAGGATGCTTGTCCATCTGTCCACCGCAGTCAGCAGGTTGGTTATACAAGAGTAACCCTTCCTGAAACCATGCTGTTGGGGTGAGAAGAAATTTAAGGACAGTAGATAGTCATTTAAACCGTCGCATATCAGGGACTCCATGAGTTTTGAAGGTAACGACAGAAGAGCTACCGGCCGATAACTTGAAGGTTCATTGCGTCGACCACCTTTGAAAATTGGTGTGATGTGAGCCAACTTCCAGTTTTCCGGTAATTTGCCTCGGCTAAGCGAGTGTGAAAACATCACGCTGAGCGGCGTTGCCAGGATTGAGGCTGCCTCCCTCAGTATGGCAGGATGAACCATATCCGGGCCAGGAGAAGTGTCAAGTCTTAAGTGCTGCAGTTTCCGGAACACCAAGTCAGCGCTTAGGTCCACTTCAGAAAGTCCTGTGGAATTGCAGATGAAACTGTCGTCAATAAAGTTGATGTCAGCCGGTTGAAATGTTTGAGAGTAATGGGCCGCCAGAAGGTTAGCGGCGTCGCCATCGTTGTTGGTCGGGCCGTTAAGACCTAGCAGTTGAGAAACTCCTGTTTTGGCTTGACGAAGTGAGGCTGCATAACGGAATAGGCTTCTAGGGTTAGAGGCGAATTTGTCCATAAGCTTTGTTTGGTACTGAAGCCTGTCTTCTCTTATAGCCTTCGTGCATGTGTTCCTGACATGTTTGTATTGCCTATACGCTCCATCGTTATTAGTTCGTTTGTATTCCGCCCAACAGTGCCGTTTGCGGCTTAGGAGGCGAAGGGTACGGTTCTTGATAACTGTAGGTGGCTTGAAGCTTTTGGGAACCGTTTGAGGAACTGAATGGTCTGTAGCACGTAAGAGCGTGTGCAGTAAGAAGTCCCAATGACCATCCACATCGATTTGAGGGTGAACATCCCAAACCACCTGTTGTAGATGGTCATGTAGAGCTGGCACATTCAGCCGTTTAAAATTCCAACGCAAATTATTGTTGGGATACCTTAGCTTAGTTTTGATGACAAAACTGAAGGCTATGACGGCATGATCGCTTTTTCCCAGAGGAGCCAGGATTGAGAGGTTTTCGACTAGGAATTCTTCGTTAGTGAATACACAGTCTAAGCGCGATGGTGTCTGACTGTTTCTCCAACGAGTTGCCGACCTCACATTTTCATATAAGCCCAAGTTATCGATGAGGTTGAAGAACCGAGCTTCAGTTGAGTTGTCGCCTCCAGTATACGTGTGTTCCGCGAAGTTGACTCTAGGGAGATTAAAGTCCCCTAGAATCAGGATGTGTGTGAAACCGAGACGGATAGAGCGGGATAGTCCTTCCAGCATACGACTATCGTACTCGGTGTCGGCAGTTGGCTTCCTGTAAATGACTCCGACTAGACACCTGGAAGTACTAGACAACCTTACAGAGCACCATATGGATTCCTCAAGATTGTTAAACTCGAGGTTGTGAACCTGGTGCACCTCCAAGCAAGAGCTTATGTATATGGCTACTCCGCCCCCAATTCCTATTTTTCTGTCGTTGCGGAACAAAGTCATCCCAGGTAATGCTAACTCTTGATCCGAGAACTGAGAAGATATCCAGGTTTCAGATATTCCTATCAGATGGGCCTTGTTAGCGTTGCTAAGTTCACGTAGTTCATCCAGTTTGTTTGTTAAACTCGCGGCGTTCATATATAAGCAGTTTATGCTTTCAATTTGGAACGCGTGAGCTTCGTCCTGTTTTTCTGTATGAACCTTATGTGAATGGACAGGTAGCCCACCTATATGAGGTTTGCCGAGGTGGTAGGCCCTGTCCTTTACACGTTTTTTTTTTAGACAGTCCACAAGTGGAATGGTCAGCTCCAACTTGCCTTTGTTCTTGGTCCTGACTTCGTATGGCCTATCCGTGTGCATGTGGATTCCAGGTGGCAATCGACGTCTATTAGCACGAAATGCTTCCAGAACTGCAGCCGCCATGTGGGAAGATGGGAAGATTATCTTCATCAGACGGGGTCTAAGATCACCGTCCTTCTTGGCTAGTCTCGTCACATGCTGAGTCAGTATGTGTTTGAGCCTCAAGGACTGTTTGATGAATTTCCATTCCCTGATGTCAGAATTTGATTGAGTAGGGTCTGCATTTTCCGGTATACCTTGGACAATTATGTTTCTTCCGCGGAAGAACATCTCGCGAGATTCTTTAGGGACGTTTCGTATGATATTGCGCTCAGAGTACGGTATGTCGGGCAATATTCTTACGTTACCATCTGATTTCAGTAAGTGACTTGCTAGCAAGACGTCCTCTACGTCGGTAGCATCCTTAAGTGTTACTCGGAGAAGCCTCGGGTGATTTAGATGCTTAGAATCCTTTCCTCGAGTGAGCCGGGTGACCGTCAAAGGCTCTATTCTAGGAAGTTCGAGCTTCTTGTTCAATTCACCCCACAGCATCCTGTCGTTTTTATCCTGCAGACTGAGAGGAAGGTCAGGATTGTCGACGAGGTTCATGATAATGAGAGAATCGTCACGAACTGTTGTTAATTTACCAGGTTTCACGATGGGTTCACGTTTAATAACTTGTTGTTTGGAGGTCAGTGTGCGTTTATGAATCTTGGGCTCTTTATTGACCGGACGAACAGTCTTGGGGGTAGACTGTGCGACTAAATCACCAGTTATTTTCCGTGCAGCAACATTTGGGTTGCTCGGCTTAGGCGGTGATGCCTGGTTCTTTTGGGCTCTCTTAACGTGGGTCGAATCACCTGCAGGGTTTTTGGGAACCACTGTTGTGTTCAGGGACCCTGAGCTGGGAGACCCGAGTTTGCCTAGGGAGTCTAGTACCGTCGACGTAATGATGGTACTGAGCCTCGACACGTCGTCATTAGTGTTGATGGATGCCCCATCGATGGTATACCTATCGACATCCCTATTTTTGAGTCCGTTGCGCGCTCTTGTTTGTATATCGGTTTTTTTACTGTCGTGTTCCAAGTTAACTGACAGCTTATTCCGGAGACCTGTCAGTAGGACAATGATGTTACTCAGCAAGACTACTGCGTCCGTGTTGCACGTGACACATACCCACTTTTGGTCTGACTTGCTGAATCTGTTGTAAGCAGTTGCTGTCAGATTTGTGCATGCTTCGTGGAACCAACCTTTGCAGTTGTCGCACTGCATGCCAGTTGTGACAGCAAAACGGCATCCCGGACGTTTGCATGAGTTTTTCATGACAGTGTTGAAGCAAACTATGTTATAGATGCTTACAAAAGCTTAAGACCTTTTTAAAAAAAACACTAAAGTGCACACTGAAAACGGACAAAAATGGACAAAACGAGTGATATAAACTGAAACTAGTCTATACGTGAAAAACAAAAAAAACCGAATAGTAAGCTGAGGCAAAACCACAGGTAACTATTAAATATAGTGAAACTCAAAAAAGTAATCTACCGAACGTATAGCTCATGATAGATTCTTTAGAACTGAAATGGTACTTTTGTTGCGTAAGAACACAGCAAAAGTTTGATATATGCAAATCACGTTAGGACTAAACTTCCCGTTCGAAAAGCGCGCGTCTAGTTTATTCTGTAACAGCTTCTATTTTCAAATTAAGCGCTGTAGTTTACTTTTCTTTGGAACTTTCGAAGTTTGAAGATTCCCATCCTCTATCGTAAAGATTACTCAACATAATTCATAGGTAAGCTTTCAATTAGGCCTGACGATATTCAAGGTTAAAATAACAGCGGCCATCTCCTTTCTGACGCTACGTTAATGGGCCGTTCGCGTAGCAGATCACTGTCTAGTGGTCACAAGTCGAAACCTAGACGGTACAGAAGCCGTTCGCGCGATAGAATCAAAGAGCGTGACAGGTATCGTGACAAAGAACGCGATAGGATACGCATAAGAGGGAACGAAAGGTCGTATCGGGACCGTCATCGTCATGACAGAAGACGGAGGTAAACCGATGGTATACTTTATTTAGTACTGTTTCAGAAAAAGAAGTTCGACAGTGTCAAGCTACGATAGTGAAGCAGAGAGGCGAAATCGAAAATCAAAAATGAAGGAAATAGATAGGAAAATAGAAGAGGCTCGAAGGAAAGAAGAAGCTGAAAAACGTGCTCTGGAGCAACGAGAAAAGTAACTGTTTTGTTCTAAAACTTACGCTGTATTGGATCCACAAGGTCTCAGCGCTTCGTATGTAAGCCTTGCCACTCAAGGCTTTTGTTAGCTTTAACCACACTTGTAAAAATATGCTTTAGGCGTCCTAACCACTGTATGGTTAACAAATTAGACCAAATGCTTGATTTTAGTACATTGAAAATTTTAGTGCTTTGTGCTCTATTTTATTGTGTAAACTTATAATTCTTGCTGCGAAACACCAGAATATCTATTCATTTATTCCGGTTTGCACTATCTTTCTATTTCTCCATCATAGTAGTAGAATAAGTTATGATGACAAAAAATAACTAGATAAAATGTGGTGCCATACTTCAAAATTTATAAGCAATAAATGGGACCAGCGAATAAAAAAATATAAGATTGTAACAAACTTGAATCACTTGGAATTATTTAAAGTGAGATTGTTGTTCATCTCTATGAAACGAATAGGTATGGGCAATATATCTTAACTATGTTGATTGATGAACGTTCGTGGCGTTACTAATCGAGTTTCTGTTTTTACTTAGTAATCCATATAGTTTCGTGTTTATTTAATAGTTCCTTTATGTATAATCAATAATTTGAAGGGATGATTGAGTGCTGTTGACTTGGATGTGTCCTGTACATTCACATATCGTATTTCATGATTATAAGGTGATGGCGGTGTGTTGTGCAGTGTACTCGCTTAAGCTATGACTTGACTAGATTCAACTAAGTACCATGCCTTGGCATTGAGGTTTCTCCAGATATCAAGCCTGTTAAGACTTAAGGTGGGCAGAGTTAACACACTCAACTACCTCATTTTCTATGATCAGACTATGCATTAAAGTAAATTAGTTTCAAAGCAAAATTTCAAATGTCAGTAGTTGAGTGTACCACAAAGATTCATGGGACATCACTAAGACATTCATAAGATTTCATTTTGTCTACGTCCTCCCCAAGCAAATAAGTTTTCCTCAACTGTTCTCTACACATTGTACAGAAAAACTAGTCTCTTGTAAAGACTGTCAGGTTGCAATTGTCATCAAATTAAGTGAGAGAAGCGTTTGCTTTTAACCAGGTGCCATATTTCTGGGAGAATCTAACATCCTTTATCTCTGGGTAAAACTTATGTATGTGAAAAAAAATCAGCAGAGATTGAGAGAGTAAAAATAAGACTCAGTTCGCTACGTGAGTTCGTTAAATATCTAGAGATATGTGCTTTCTGTTCAGCGACGTCAAAAAAAATTGAGTAGATTAGCTACATTCAGATTCAAACCTTTAAAGATTCTTCTTAGGGTTAGTGTTGAGACTAGGTTTCAAAAACCAGTGATGGCTTCCAATACTATTTGTCAGGATAATATGGTCTTCCAGTTCCTTGTATTCTAGAGGAAAACAACCAAATTTTACCATATGTCCCCGATAAATTTTCTCTTGAATGCACCTCAAAGCATTGGTCTTGTAAAATGCTATTTCTTCACTCTAACTTCGATCGTATAAGGCGGTTTTAAACTGATTGAAATTCCTATCAAGAATTGAGACGCGCGACGTACGCTAGATTAGTCTATGTTTCATTCATGTCACGGTATTAGATGTGAGGTTGTATGTAACCGAAGCGCAAATCTCCCTCCAACGACGCTAGAAAAGCATAGTCTTTCGAACTGTGTATGTTGCTGACATTCTGTTTTAAATTGATCATCTTGAACTTTACAGAGTTATGTGTCAGTCTCTTACCGTCTGACCAATTATGAAGTTCAGTTAAATCCTCCAGAGATAGCTTATTGTCATGCTTTCGAATTGCTCACAGTAATTCCGCATCATTAGTAATCATAATCAATCTTACTGACACCAGGCTTTCTAGTCAGTCAAGAAAATTTGTTATTCAATGATAACAATGAAATAGATTAAATGACTAATCATATATGTATATAAATATTACCGTTAAACTTGGTGAGGATATAATTGGAAACAATGTTGTTTATATATTCTAATTCATATAATCGGTTTTTTTAATATTTCTACTGAAGTTGAAGACACAACACCAGTCTGTGAACTCATTCACCGTTTTGAGTTGTGTATGGATTCACGCTGTACTGTCCGTTATTATGGTACTCATTTACCAAGTCTATGCGTGTGTAGTTGGCTTCATACTATTGTCTCTTTATGATTGATCGATTGACATCTTTAAGCCACATTTAGTGTGCGCACTAGTATTGCAACTTCCCTGTCACAACTGAAGCTTACCGGGGCTCGAGCCTTTGACTTTGAAATTATTGTTACCATAAAAGTCAGCAATCAAGTATCCTGGTTGATAGATGAAATTTTATTTGTTTAAGAAGGATTCGTTCAGTTGTTTATTAGTCTACACTTGATTCACTCTCCAGACCCAAACATTTTTAGTAATTTATAAGATCTACGCAGTTTCTTTTCCTGCACAGTTTCAGAGCGAAGAAACTTGACTATATATTCATGCTTTTTGGTTCCACGTTTTAGTACTTGTCTGTCAGTCTATGAAAATGTTGTCTACATTTTACAGCAATAGACCATTTTGATATTTATTACTTTTTAACAAAACATGATTATAATATCCTCCATAATTCAGAGAACGACGGTTGCAGGAGGAACGTGAACGGGAGGCGGAAGCAGCCAGGCAGTTAGAAGCTCGTGTTACAGAGGCTTTCGAAGCTGCTTTAGTAGATAGGGCTGAAGACCTCCAGGCTGAATTGGAAAGAAGATATCAAGCGGAAATTGACCGGAGAGTTAAGAATAAACTAGATGAGATCGAACGTGAATACCAAAGCAAGCTGGAAGAGCAGAGACGTATGGAGGTAACCTTGTAAACATTTTGGAGCTAGTTGATAACTTGTTCAGTACTTACGATACAAAGTCGTTACGTTCAGTTATTGTTTGTTGTTTATTTGTCGCTCAGCATTTTAATTGTTTTATTTGATATAGATTAGCTCGATTGTTTAAAATTTAAACATGGAGATTTTTATGTTGTCGTTAATATGTAGACAATATATGTAGATAATGGTAATCTAGGTTTGGAAAGACTGGAGTTATTTCTCGTCCGACATTATTCTGTGTTAGAGAGTCAACGTAAGCACTAAAAGTATTCTCTAAAGGATAAAAATCCACAGGGTCGCAGGGCCTTATAAATTTACTTGTATTTCAATTACATGTCATTTTTATTACACGAACATATTTCCATCTGCCACTTTTTCGTTTACTGAATCTTCACTTGGCATTTGCTTTTGGCTTTTTTATTGACCGTAATTTATTCGCAACAACTAAGCTATATTTAGTATTATTAGTAATTAAATATATACCTGCACACCCTACTCTCTGTTTAGTTATCAGTTAGATATCTCACATTGTGACGTAAAGTGGTAGTAACTTATTGGACGCCTTAAGTACGTTTTGAGAATATGCCTTACAACTTTCGATATTTGCAAAATATTTATAGTGGTCAGCTCATTATCTTACAGGATTTCGTTTATTTTATTGTGAATCAGATTTCCTAGTAGGAAATGAGAGTATTGTTTATGGGAGTATACTTATGATTTAGTTGAATTACCACCTGGTATATTTACCCTAGCTTCTACTAGATTACAATTATTGGAACAAGTAGCACTCAGTCAGTCAGTCAGTCAGTCAGTCAGTAACAACGTAGAACTTCGTACGTACGTACATCAGTTCGAGTTGCCACACCACATTAGCACAGAGATGCAGTGGTCGATTCAAATCCCGTAGTGGTAAAGGTAGCAAGAGTATAAGCAGTAATCGGGAAGATTAGGGTTTGGAGATGTTATTTAAAGAGTATAATCCGGTGAAAGAAATTTGGGAAGACGGAAAAAGGGACATGAAGAATTCAGAAGATTAGAATTTGGGAGAACACAAAGAGTGGATGCACCTGCGCCATTGCGAACGATTTTGAGCCATGTCATTCAGGGTCTCTAACCATCGGTTGCTGTCATCTCGCGGTCCCCAACCAGGTAGTCTACACCTACCAACATGACTCAGACCACTTGTCAGTGACTTCATGGACTTGTGCCATGTTTTGGTCTGGCCGCCCCTAGCTTTCTTCCAACCTACTCCTATACCACTGAACATAGCACGTCGAGGCAGTCGGTCGTTGGGCATACGTAACACGTGTCCCAGCCATCTCAACTGATGAAGTTTCACTACTTCATCAATTGATTTGCCATCCTTACCTAGTACCCGTTTCCTGACAACTGTGTTACTTACTCGATGGTCCCAGGATATACGAGCAATGTTTCGAAGACACCTATGATCGAATACTAGTAACCTACGGATATCCTCTACTCTTACCGGCCATGTTTCACTGCCATAAAGTAGGACGGAACGAACTGCTGCGCAGTAAACACGTCCTTTGGTTGATAGACGGATATCTCGCCTACGCCATAAATGACGCAAGTTGGCAAAAGCTAGTCGAGCCTTCTGTATCCGTGCTGAGATTTCGTCACAAACCAAATCACAAGGGCTGATGAGACTTCCAAGATAAGTAAAGCGGTCGACACACTCAACTACTTCACTCCCTATCACTAGTTCGGGTGTCGATGTAACCCAATCCTGAAGCAACATTTTACATTTCGAGGGAGAGAATCGCATCCCGAACATGCTTGCATTGTTGCTTAGAGTGGTCAGAAGACTCTGCATTTTGTCAGCGTCTTCACCAAATAAAACTATGTCATCTGCATATTCTAAGTCAACAAGTGAACCTCCCGGTAGAAGTTCAACCCCTGGAAATTTAGATGAGGAGAGTGTTATCTCTAAAAGTACGTCAATGACAAAGTTGAACAAGAATGGGGAGAGTGGACAGCCCTGACGAACACCACTTGAGGTGATCAATTCTGATGACAGTTCGCCATAAGCTCTCACTCTACCAGTTGTGTTCGAGTAGAGAGCCTTTATAAGGTTAATGTACTTCTTTGGTACTCCTTTCAGTGACAAACACTGCCATAGAACCTCACGATCAACGGAGTCGAATGCCGCCTTAAGGTCGAGAAATACTACCATTGTGGGGCGTCTGAATGTGTGTCTCTGTTCTAGAACCTGACGTAGTGTGAATATCTGATCTATACAACCACGTCCAGGTCGAAAACCAGCCTGGTTTTCTCTAGTCTGTTCTTCACGAGCTTTAGTTAGGCGTCGAAGTATTATTGAGGCCAATATTTTAGACACTATATTAGTCAAACTGATTCCTCTGTGATTGTCACAAGAGGACTTTTGTCCTTTCTTAAAAACTGGCACAATCAGTGATTGAGACCAGTCAGATGGGATTACGTCCAGTTCCCAAATTCTACCTAAGACCTCAGTTAATCTTGCTGCTAATACTGGACCACCATCCTTAAAAATCTCAGGAGTAAACATGTCAGGGCCTGCTGCTCTCCCTCGTTTCAGATTTCTTATGGCTTTTTCAACTTCGTAAAGGGACGGAGGACTTACATTAACTTGCCATTCAGGTTGACTGGAGATCGTGGGAAACCGAAGTGTGGCTGAAGGCCAGTTGAACTGATCCCTAAAGTGTTCTGCCCATCGATCCAATCTCCTGGATTGAGAATGAATAATATGTCCATCTTTCTCTGAGATTGTTTCGCTAACGGTCGGTTTCCTAATTCCGGTTTCCTTAACGAGTCTAAACAATTGTCTGCTATTACCTATTGCCGCTGCCTTTTCCATCTCTCTTGCTTTCGCTACCCACCACTGTTCGCGATCATTGCGTAGACTTCTTGTCAGCTTGCGCTTAAGCTCACTCCGCTCTTCATTATGTTCAGAGCCAGGTGGAATGAGTTTTCGAGCATCTATCAGTGCGATAGATGCTGCTGAGATCCAGTGTTGCTCCCTAACTTTACGGTTTACCTTACTAGCAGATATCACTGCTGTTTCCACAGCTTTTCGGATATCGTTCCATGCTGCCTCGGGGTGGGCATCACATACATGGCTGCCTAACTCTTTTCCTAGTTGTTCCTGAAATATACTCTTAGCTTGACTATCATTAAGTAGGGCCCTAAGAGGTTTACTTGCAGGATCTTTCCTACGTCCAGTAAGACGCAAGCAAATACGCGCTCGCACTAGAGCATGATCTGAATCTAGGCATGTGCTCCAGAATGAGCGACAGTCTTCTATCGAGCCCCTCCATCGGTGGCTGATAGCGATGTGATCTATTTGGGTCCAACGTTGGGACGAATTAGGGGGTCGCCATGTTAAAAGATGTTTTTCCTTATGCTTAAAGTTAGTATTTGCAAGGAACAGGCGGTTATCTGAACATAGCTGTAACAGACGGTCGCCATTATCTGTTCTTTGAGCCACGACACCATAGGATCCACCTAGGTGTCTTTCCTTATCGCTTAGTTTACCTACTTGAGCATTAAAGTCACCGGCCACTATTACTACATCCGAGCGCTTAGCTTTTCGGAGAAGGTCCGAAAGCTTTCTGTAAAACTCATCTTTTACATCATCTGAGCTGCAGTCAGTGGGAGAATAGGCAGAGACGACGAAGAGGCAACGACGAGTGTCCCTATCTTTCCGGATTCTTACTGTTCCGTTCAGTCGGACAGCGCACAAACGACTGTTTACTGGGATCCACTCTAAGAGAGCTAGTTCTGCCCTAGGACTCAATGCTATACCTACGCCGGCGAGGCCACGGGAAGCAGAATCAGGGCTTCCAGATACACGAAGCGTAAATCGAGTCGGTTCTTTATTTTGGCATGGTGAGGTCAAATGAATGACGCTACTCGGATCTTGTATGCGCGTTTCGGAGACGCAGCACACATCGATGGCGCGAGATTCTAAAGTCCTAGCTAAGGAAGCCTGTTGTCCTATTTGGCACAGTGTTCGTACGTTAAAAGCTCCTACGTGTAGTTTAGAGCGTGGTTTCAGGAGCCCAGGAATGGCGTTCCACGTACTCGAATCGTTTGCCCTAGCGGTGCGAGGTGATAAAGAGACGTGAGGAGGGTTAGTCGGGAGGATAAGAGAGGTATTAGGAGGTGTAGGAAGGATTTGAATGTGACCACCTTGGTCTCTTGTGCTGTTACGGGTATGAGGGCTGATGTCACTTCCCGGCTGCCCACACCGTGGAAGGGTATTTCTTGATGAACCTGAAAAGGAAATTGGATTAGTGTTGGTCTTGACGACCTGGGAGCGTGACCGCAGAGCCCAAGGGACAACTGCTTGAGGCCGGTCGCGCACGGCCTTTTTGTGGAAGGTTTTTGACGTGTTAGCTCCGTTCTTCAAGGGGCCTTACCGCCGGAGACGGAAATCCGTGAGGTAAGGTGAGGTGTGCATTTTTAGGGTCGACCTTTTCTAACCCCACCCCTCCTTGTGGGAAGGCAGCATCGCTGTCATGCTGGTTGTCCGAGGGAAACACCTTACTGCTGTCACACCTCTCTACAGTCAGCAGTACGACTTCGCCCTCAGACCTTGAGTTGCTGCTTTTAGTCTTACCGTTCGCCAATCGACCTGCCTGGCATGGTAGAACCTGCAGGAACATATGTTCCAGCCAATATAGCTCGGTTGGGTCATCACGATAGGCAAGCCCGACCACCGCGTCAAGGTAGCAGCTTCGATCGGGACAAGTAGCACTCAGTCGTATATTGTACTTTTGCATATCGTTTAAACTTATATAAAGTGTGACAATATCTGTTGAGACTGCGTTATAACACAAGATTTCATAATATTTAGTGTATCGTGCTCGAACTTACTGTTCGTGGTTCTTAATTATTCTGGATTTTGAACAAGCTCATAATTTGATTTAAGCTGTTTGCTATAGAAGTACAGATTTTCCTAGAAAATCCCAATGGTTTTATATCGATCGGATGTTAATATTATGGTTTCACATTTATGTTGCATGTATGTAAGATATTTTGTTCACCTTTTTATATGTGAAACTGTTTTTTAACCTTTCGCCTTATTCCAGGAGGAGGAAAAACGTAAACAAGCAGAATTGGACAAAATACTTGAAGAGAATAATCGCAAACTCATGGAAGCTAGGCGTAGAGAGGTTTGTTTTCTCATCAATCTTTTGTTTCATGCTGAAATAGCTCACTTGATCTTAGGATGCATAGTGGGTACGTCTTATCACGACGTAACACAGAAATCATAAGTTACATAAGACGTAGAGTGAGGTAACATTTTCATTTAAAAAATAAGTTTAATGTGCGAAAATATTTCGAGTATAAGGTTATATGCGTGATCAAACCATATTTGTTTTAAATCAAGGAAATTTATTTACCCAAATACCACCAATCAATATAGGTATATTTAAAATATTTGTATTACCATGGTAAATGTTAGTTGGGAAACCTAATCTTCGGTAGTTAGTTCAGAGAAATCTCGTTGAACTAATCTCTGATCAATATCAACGTTTAACGGAATCCGGGATGTGAGCCTTACGGCTTCATAAATTTAAGTTCCTCTAGTGTAATCATTAACTTGAAAGTATACAGAAATGACTTCGTAGGACTCAAAATGGGTCGCGAAAATGTGACTTTCTTAGCTGTATTTCAATAAGCTGACTAAAAGGAACAAAATGCTGTATACAGAGTTTTGTATACATTCAAAAACCTAATTCCTTAACGTTTATGTGTATCATTCTTCTACGCTTGTATCTATAGTAATTTATCTGCTATAGATCCTTTTTGTATTAGTAAAACCTTTGGTTAAGGTTTAGGTATCAGTACCAAGGTTGGGCTTCATAGTTTCAAATAAATTGAGCATTGTGCAGAGTTAATGATAAATACATTTTTTGTTACATCCCAGTAAGTAGAAAAAATTTTAAGGTAGAAAAAGCTTACTTGTGTGGGTAAAATTTCAGATAAATAAATACGGTGAATAGTAGTTTTCCCGAGAAGACTGTTAAATGTATTACATATGAACCACTACCCGGTTATCCTTTATCTTATGATCAAGAATATATGTATCCAACTATTATATATTGCTGCATCTTTGATAATTGCATAGGGTTTCATACTGTTGAAAATCGAACGAACTGAGTCGTTATAAGTTTCGGTTAAAGTTGATTTCAATTACTGTATTTTAGTTTTCTGTCACATTTAACAGATCTATGCACTAAAATGAAACGGATGTATTTTAGGACCTTATGTGACGTTTCCATTGATTGTTGTCTTCTCCTTTCATGCTATTATCCAATGCGACGCTTCTCTTGCTGCTCATATTACGTTAACTTGAGATTTTATAAATATGTAATAGTATCCCACTTTAATTGTTTACAGCTGTGAACAGTCTCAAAATTCTTCGGGACAATGAAAAAGTACTTGAATTCCTCCTCCATTAATTAGTCGAACTTTGAGATTTGCAATATGGTTCTTTTTCATTAAAAATCAATCAAGAAGCCAATTTTTAATTTCATTGGAGTACTTTCGGAAGATATAATTGTTGAAAATGAAAGGGTGTAGTCGTATAAAAGAAAAAGGACCGCCGTCTTTGCTACATTTCTTAGATTAGTTCATGTCAATCTCGATTCAGGATTACAAAAAATCAAACATAAGGGATTTAAGCAGTTAACATAGATAAATAATAACTTTTTCTCGGTTATTTTCATTGTACTTTTGATATTCTGTGATTTAACCATATCAATCATCTTTTTATTTTATGGAATAAGCTTAATATTTGTTTTCTCTGTTCTTGGGTTATGGCGTATTGATTTCATCTTGCATATTCCTGTCTAGTAGACCCCAAATACCCTGGTACGGTCGAGAGTGGGGCGAGTCGGCTCCCCCTCTCGAAATGCTCTCACATGGCTACGTGTATACAGCCACTGCCAAAGAAGTCCTACTCACTTCCTTCTCGTGACGGAGGTGTTGCTTAGGGAATTGAGAGGACGAAAAGCGAATGTTCGGTGCTTTAACCGGGTTGGTGGATATGGAGGATCCATCTAGGGGAGTTGGAAAACCCTGATTCTAAACCAATGGTGTACATGGGCTCCATGGGACTGCATCTCCTGACGTTGCTCTGCTGCCTTGTGGATTAGACCTGTAGGTTGAAGGCTCGGGGTGTGGCCCGCTAAGACAACCACCTGCTTCGGTCTGGGCACCTGAGCTGTATCCCAGCCCTCACACAAATCAAATGATTTGTGTGATGTATACATATTTGGTGCCTTCTTGTACCAATGGTTATTTGTTTAAGCAATAAAACTAATAGCAAACTCAACTCGTCGTTTCCCATCAAACTGTTTTCTTAGAGTTATCTTTTGGAGAATTCAATGTAGAAAAGTGATAGTATTTTCTCCTGAAGTTTCCTCTGGCTAAAACCATACATATGAACGTATCAATGTATAAGTAAGATTTTTGTTTCGGATTATAATCCATACTTTTTGTAGTTTGTGTAACGGGATTGCACTCTTAAGAACTATTTCCTATCAATGTAACTCACATTTCATTATCTTTCATCATCAACTTTGTATGTTCATTGAAATAAAATAGCGTTGACTTTTTGTAACTTTTCTATTTATTTTAGGACTATTACCTACAGCCGATTAACGGATCTGCATTATAAGGTTCTGTATATATAATTTTTCTTGATAAAACTTATTCTTCTGTACCTTCATTTTCATTTACCAAATAAAATAGTTTATCAAAATCATCAATGTTTTCAAATTTCATTCGTTTTTCGAGATCGGGATAGATATTTCCTGGAAATTTCTTCTTCCCATATTTTTTTCTTACTGACTGAAATAAAAAAGTACTTCCAAGGTTAGAAGCTATCAAAATTCTTTTAATGTTTTTTTCGAAATTGTTATCTATGAGTTCTACACTACGTTTTGTGCTAATATCCAAAGCAAGTCACAGGAGTTAAGCCGTGTTAATATTGACCTTATTGGTATTTTCGGGGTGTGTTTAATCAATAAGAAGCGTTTAATTAAACCTGAAACACTTGATGAAAAATGTTGGGCTTTAAAATTTCGAGTTAGTTATAGGTTAAGTGAAATAATCAAGCGACTGATCCGTAATTTAAATGGTATCAAAACAATATGGTGTGTGCTCCGCGTACGATCGTCAGATGAGATGAGATAAACAATGTTACAACATATATGAGTTATTGATTGAGATCATGTACCGATTGATGTTAGACCATCACAATTGAAAACCTGGAAGCACTGGACGGCCGTTTCGTCCTATTGTGGGGCTCATCAGCAGTGCGCATCCACGACCCCGCGAGCGGGATTCGAACCCAGGGCCTTCGGTCTCGCGCGCGAACGCTTAACCAACTGAACCACTGAGCCGGCATCATTGGATGCCGGCTCAGTGGTCCCTATACTAGTTATATATGAGTTAGTTAATACTTGACTTGTCACATCCATGTTATCCAGCTTTGTAAATTAATGGTGGTTGGTACGGCCATAGGCCTTGCTTCTTCTGCTACAACCATGTTTTAATCTCCGTTTCAATTTATTCACCATACGCAAGTTACTGGTACAAAATTGTAATTTGTAAAGCATTAAGGGACTTTGGGAGATGTATGGTTTTTAGATCATTTTCAGTGGCTCAACAGTTGTTACTCACTTAACTACTGAGGGATTCTAGTAAGTTGTTCTCAGGGTTTTAGCTGTACGGAAGTCTGGAATGAAACATACATAGATGAGGAGCAATTCTGTCATGCTAAGTATCTATGTACTTATCGCTAGACGTTAGGATCGTGTTATGCTCTGCAAACATCTTATTCATTGTGAAGTGTGTTGTAACTACAGACTAGAGTGGATGCTGATCTGTCCATCTATAATGAAGCCAGGCGCACTTTAGAACTTTGGCATTTTCCATCGTATTATGATCACTTTAACATAAACCCTGTAAATTCTCTCCGTGCATAACAGGTTTCCTTTAACTAACAGATGTTCAGGTTAACAAAGACATCAGTATCCCTACTACAGTATATACTTACTTCATTTGACCAAATGGAGCTTAACTTTCTTTCCACCCACATCTCAAGATCCTTAGAATTGTAGTTCTGTAAATAAGCGATAAATTTGGGAATTTAGCATTTTACATTTAATATAGATATAGCCTGCTCATACATCTTTAAGTCAGTCGAGTATTTGTAAATTTCGGAAATCGAGGTGGCTGCAATGTTTGCTATCTATCAATTAGAATAAGCGTTCCATGTCAACGATTATTCTTACTCTTAATTGGTTGCTATCCATGCTAGTACTCATAAACCCGGGAACTAGTTACGTAAGTCGAAAACGTATAAGTATGCAGTACCGTGTGTATTAACGTGTATAAACAAAGTTCTATCCTACTCAATCCATGTTGAGATTTGAGGCTCAGTGTGCTAGATTAAAATGTGATGCTACGTCTGTTTGAAGTCTTTTTGGTTCATATTCTTTGGATGTTGATATCGTTACAGTTCATTCAGTTGTAGGATCCATTTACTTGTGTAACGTAATATTAAGGGATTAATACTATTCATTTTAGATTACCTTCTGAACTCCTTCCACTAACACTTTTCACGTGTCCCATGAATTTTAGATGGCTACAAGACCCTAGGGACACTTGCACCTTACCACTATCTAAGGTACTCCAAGTATCCTGATTCTCACCTGACATAGGAGCTGCTGACCTCGAATCCTAGCATGAGGATTCCCGTAAGTTCTCGAAGTTAATAATTGTTCATCCAAATAGATATCAGTCGGATGATTGATTTGAACAATAAAGCCAGCTCCCTCAACTACTTCCCATTTACCTCACAAGGAATACCTTGACTTATAATTCTATCCAGGTATTTCTGATTATTCAAATGTGAATGTAGCAACTTGGAGAGTACGGTCTAACACCAATACTCCAAGAAAACAAAATAAAGTGGCTCACTGAATACTGGATTGTTACTTGATGATATATATCTCAACATGGTTCTTCCTTTACCTGTAATATTTAAAGGTTGGTTCACTACCTACACAGTGAACTGAGAATTTAGCGATAAGAAAAATCAGAGAGTTAGTTTAATCTAGTCATCCAAGTGTTAAGGTTTTCTATGCGTCTTAGATTCTCAACGACAGATGACAATGAACTATCACTTAATATCAAGTCTTCCTAAAACTGGTTACAAGCTGTTTGAGCAAACTTCAAAAAGATATTCTGGTCAAGGAGATGCAATTCAGTAGACGTGAAACAACAGTGGAATCTTCTTATTGACACTTTTGGCAAGACTACAATTTATGGACGAATCAATCAGATTTTAGATAACAGGTCCTAGATTTTGGCTCGAAATCCATTCACTCATTTAGCTAAATAGAGTCATGGCATTATAGCTGATATCAGTTCGTGATGAAAATCCTTTTTCTTAAAACCGTTTTATAACCCTCATTTAGCTCTAGTAAGCAGATAAACACCCTCAAAAGCACTTTAGCGTTGCTCAAGGTCGTCCACAAACCATGGTCTCACAATTTTTTTTGTCCGTCGATCGAAATTCCTCTTCTTCAGTCAGATTCGAAAACTTTGACAGAATTCCTATGAGGAATGAGCGTAATGTCTAGGACAACTGGTGTGGTGGACACTACATGCAACACTACTTTTAAGTTGCATGTAGCGGAACGTGGTATTAACGCTGTCAAAGTCGTCAGACGGCGGAAATTTCGATACGTTCGAAGCACGTCAGAGGTAGAACGCTTGATGTCAAGAAGGGAAGACCGTTCGAACTGTAGAGTATGCAGTGGTACTGGTCATAATCACACAATCCTCAATTCTGAATATGAAATAACTGGGAGAATAGACATCTAACACTTAACACGGAGAGAACGCCAACAATTACGAAGGCGGGAAGAATTGATCAGTTCAGCCTGGCAGGCGTGGTCATCTATATTAATTATTAGCTTACGACGATTGATTAACAGGCTTTAATAACATTTACATATCTAAGCGAAACAAAATTGTTAAAACATCAAACTCTAGCAAATATGGCCTTTAAATGACGTAACTAGACAATAGCTAGCAATGTGAGCAAGGGCTGAATGGTTATCTGGACCTAATTGTTCATATTGTTTGATCGTTTAACGTTACAACCTGTCTTAAACTAAGGACTATCCTTTAATATCTTTTCTTCCGGTCACTGCCTGCCTAATTTCCAGTTTTTTAGTTCCATTGTCGAATAACGAAGGCAATACTCTGGAATTGTCTGATGCGTTTAAGATGTCAATTTTCTGCAATCGTAAGGTCATTGTAGATTGTTCAAACAGTGGCAAACACATAATTATCTAAACTCTTTCATTTGTTCTGAATCGACCGAGTGACAAAAAGGTCAGCAACACCAAGCACCCTTAGATTAGTTGTTATACTGCGTGTTTAATCTGGCTGCTTTTGAATCATTACTACTCATCATAAATAGCCTCACATATGTCAAATCCATTGAATGATCTAAACTGCAAGAATAATTCAGGAGGTCCCAATTATTTTGCTGGATGGATTGTCGTGCTTTTCGGTACTTCTTAACATGAGTGCATTTCACTAGATAATAGTAGTAATTTATTCTTAAATATCAGTCTGTTAAATGAAGCATGCCAGTTTACAGGCAAGATCAAAGTGTTACAGATACAGTTAGAATAATGTTTTATAAGGTACATTGATCATAGGATTATGAGGGATAACACTTTTTACATATGAATGTAAATAATGTTAGTAAGACTTGTGTTTTTAATACAACAGTCGGTGCGCTTTGTGAAGGTTGAGTTGCGGAGTGTACAATGTTCGTGACAATTGAAGTTGAGTCATTTGTGGAGGAATAGTCAAGATATGGTTACTTAGTCTAATTCTCTTTTATTAAGATGCTTTTCAAGCAAGAGCATTCTAACAAGTTAAAGAAAATAAACATAAATAAATTATGAGTGGATAAATAACTATATGAATGGAGGTGGTTCAAAAAGAAGCTAAAAGTAGAGGATTATGTGTAGTTTTAAAACGTAGTTATGAAAACAGTATTCTGATACTATTTCATAGGTTCATGAGCAGGCTTCATCCTTGGCAAATTGTCTGATTATGCTTGTAATAGGATTACTCGGTAGGAAGTGAAACCAATTCAACGTCACAAACGCGATTTAAAGAGGTATTCTGTATAATCAATTAGCATCAATACCATTGGTTCGTGACAACACACTTGACCATAAAGAGCCGTAATTTAACAACACGTTCTGCCCTACAAAAACGGGTGGATTGAAGTTATCTCCCCACCTTCATGTTTTGCTGGTCAGTGACATCACCCTCCCTCCTTTTATGATCTTAGTCTCCCCTGTGTTTGTGGCATTTATGGATATTTCTTCAATCTAAGCTCCTTGTTTGGTGATAAATCCAATATCTGGCAAATTCACACATTTACATACATATTTTAACATGGTAAAATTTTTTCTTTTAATATCGTTTCGTGCGCTAAATGTCTACACCGTGTCTATTTCCTTCCCGATTGCCAATCCATTCTGGAAACCAGACACTTATGTGGAATCGAATAGTCATTAATCTTATTTGTTTTTTTCATTTTGTACCTTACTGTTTTATGCAGGCAGTGAATCAGTCCTTCAGGTTTGCCTGATTTTGATCATTGTTTTTGAAACAGATTCTTGTCTATTTTTTTACTTTAGGGCAACTCAAAAGCAGGTAAGTAAACACCTGATAGCTTGACAGAGAATGAGAAAATCGTACCTCACCAACATATATTAAAACATAAGCGATAGTTGCGGAAGAAATTAAATGCTACGAAATAAGTTATCAAGCTAGTCAAGGAAGAGATGTCCATGGAGTGTCATTGAATGCTGACGGAGTTGATCGGCTTTGATTGAAAGCCAAGCATTGAATGAATTAGAAATTCAGGACGAAGGTGTTCTTGATAGATATGGTGATCGAATCGAAATTCCTACGGAAGTAGTTTCTAGAAGGAAACTAATGTAATAACTTAGGTTGGTGAATTAGGAGTTGACCTCACACATATATTTATATGCCAAAACAAAAGGGCCCAAGTATTTGTGGTGGTATCGGAACCTAGCCACACGACATTTGAGGCCAAGCATATAACTACTGAAAACATTTATATCCAACAAATGACACGAAGAGACGGTTAACTATGAAAAACGAAGGAGGAACTTCAATTCAAACAGATGCCATGATTCAGCCTTGCAGGCGTGATCATTCTTGTGTAGCCTACCACTCTTATTCATATTGAATATAATGTCCTATTTCCAGCCTTAATGTGTTCTTCATCATATATTGGTGATTGTTACGATACGATGAGTCAGTGAAGACAATGACGTGATTTTCACGTAAGATCTTGTAGATTAGGCAGTTAAATCATGACAAATCTACAATTTTGGAATTAAGTCTATTATTAGAGCAGTACTAATGACGAAGTAGACCATAATTCTATATATTCATTCACTACCTTACTTTGTATGGACATTATACCTCCCATTATTTTATATTGAATGTCGAAAGGCTTTGTGCGTTCAGAAAAGACAACTACACGTTTCAACTACTTTGCTCATATTCAAGGTAAAGAACTACCCATCACTAATCGGGGTTGTTCTCTCAATAAAAGGGAAGGAACTCAACAGTACGAAACGACCACAACCTTATGGACCAGCTTATGGATTGTAACTAAATGAAGCGTGTTGGTTGTCCTTGGATATGGCGAGGATCGATAAGCTGTTCGGTATTCAGTGACCCAACTGCCAGACGATTTACGTAAGGCCCAGCAACAATTCAATTGCCCTTTAAAATAACTAATTTCATAAGCTGTAATATTTTGGTATTATCAAGACGTTTTTATCTAACTCTTAACCGCCCAAATTTAGTTGTTACAACAGCATCTAATCTTTTATCATTTAAAAGTATTGTAGCGGTAAATAAATCCCCAAAATAAATAGCCCTGTAAGTTTTCGACATTGGATGCTGACCATATGTTTTAGTGGACTCATCTCGCTGAAGGCGCTCGGTCAGGCATCCGCACCAGATCATGTGTGGTAACCCCGTGCTCAACATCAACCGCAATCGCTAGCCAGATTAGATCAGAGAATTTTGATATATTGGTCATCGCCAAATATACTCTTCCAATCTCCTCGACTCTGTCTTTTGATTTCTCTGGGTGGTTACGAATTATATTAGAAGGTGTTACTGGTAGAAGCGTTGTCAAGCACTGAATACCTGTGTCATCTTCAGTATAATCATTTTTCAACCAAGTTCCATAGGCTCTGAGGGTGATTACAGACAGAGTTATTTCTCGATAATAATAAATGATCTGTTTTGTCCTTCAGTTTCAGAAGGAATACAGGAAGAACCATGTCTTTCCTTTATCATCAATGCTCTCTTATCACTTCGAAGAATATCTACGGGAAAAGATGATTTGTCAATTCTGTAAACGAAATATGATGTTGATTACACCTTGTGGAGGCCAATACACATATAGGTTTATGTATTTACAACTGATATTTCATTTACTCAAATAAACATCGATGTTTTAACATCCAGCTTGAACAAAATCGAGGAGAGTATTTGATGTCTCTAAGGCATTACTGGGGATTTTAAAAGTATTATATAGCGTTCGAGTGGCTGGTGCCTATCAACGCGGCAAAGCGTGTCTACATGCACTTTGAGGATTCAGAGGTTAACGGGTACAACATAGGGGAAGTGTCATTACCCGTGGTCCGGTCTCATAAGGATGTAAGGGTGACAGTGAGTCATGATCTGAAGACAACGGCCCATTGCCATGAGGTCGCAGCTAAGGGGTTTCGAACCCCCTGGGCTTTAAAACGGACATTCATTAAGTTAGATACTACCATGTTCACCATAGTACGTGTATCCTTAGTGAGAACTAAGCTTGAAGACTGCATCCAAGCTGCAAGCCCCTTTTTAAAAGGTGACTCGGATATCCTAGAAAACGTACAAAAGTCAGCTACCCTTTCAATTCCAAAACTTTATGGTCTACTATACAAAAAGCGGCTTGAAAGGCTGAACCTCTTTACTCTGTCCTATCGCAGATTAAGGGGAGATCTAATTTCGATGTACAGATAAATGAGAAATGACTTATTCTCTCTTTTCCTTCCCACTAGACCGGGACATCTCAGAGGACATAGCACGTGAAAAGAAAAGCATGGAACGAACAAAATACCCGTGGCATACAGGTTTTCACACCGAGTCATCAATACTTGGAACCTGCTGCCCGAAGCAGTGGTGTCCGCACCTTCAGTTGACTCTTTCAAGAGAAGACTGGACACTCACATAAGCATACTAGAAAAAGAATAATATAGGTCGCTGGCCTTCTATCCTTGCTACACAAATCTGAATCTGAAATCTGATGTTTTAATGAATTGTCAACTTTGAAGATGACCTTGTCAACTTTTAAAATGAGACTCTGGGCGTATGTTTGAAAGGCTGTATGGATGTACGATGCATTCGATCAACTGGCAACCATGTTTTGTCTTTCATTTATCCATATTCGCACTTAGATTGTTACTCCGGAGATCAATTTTTGAGTCCATTGTCGTCTCATACTTATTGTACGTATCTCTTGGAGGTTGGCGCTATCAACGCATCTTTATTTTAACTTTTCTCAGAGACCTCACGTAAGTTTTTTTGTTTTAGATAAAACTTTATGTCAGTACGAATTTTCGAAATATATTCATGGTGGTGAGACCACAATTTATGGACGAACTAATTGAATCTAAGATAACAGGTTTCAAATTTTAGCGCGAAATTCATACACTCATTTGGCTAAATACTATTTCGGCATAATTGCTGATGTCAATTCGTGATGAAAACCCCTAATCTAATTCCTAATCCAAACCTTCTACTCGTAAATCATTGTTCTAATTACTCATACTGCTCTCTAACCCGCACGCGTTTCTGAAACGAGTGATTTGGTACTTATGATAATCTTTGCTTTTGTGTATTTGTTGCATCGAAAAGCATTCTTGGCTTACTATAATTTGAGGTGTTTTGTTTAGGGTTTGAAATTTTGCTGGACTTTGTCTTGTGGTACCTAATTTCTCATTGACACGTATTCATATTGTATTTTAAATCCTAACCTGGTTACAGCGGTTCGCAGTACTTGTAAATGTGGACAACCAAATTGTATATTCCCCGTGGAGGAAGAAATGTAATGTCATGAGTGTAAAAAGGGGTTCCATAATATGTATACCCATTAGGTCCCGTCGTGTACAAAAGATGCTTGAAGCCATACTCTCATTTTCTTTGTATGCTTTGCTGTACGAATAAGACGTTACTGATACAACAGGCTATGAGCCTATTAATTTTGGCCTGTAAAAAGAAAGGTGGTGATTGCCCTGGTAACACGAGTACTGACAGTGAGGAATATGTCAGTCTAGTCTCTGCTGTTACGTGACGCGTTAAACACTCGACTGTGATTGACGGAAAAGTAAAGTTTCCGTTAAAACAAACGAAGAGTGAAGTGCCACTTAGTATTGATACGGGTAATCGCACACCAGCAGAAATTGAAAACTGGGATAAAACCGTCACCGTTCCTATTAGTCCTGGTGTTGCTGTCCTGAGTAATGAAAAATGGACGGTAGTACGGTGAAAAAGAAGGGAAGGGAAAAAAAGCTATAAGCAGTACAAACTTCATTATGAATTCACTGGTGAACTCCTATTCTGATTAAAAAATACACTACCGAAATTCGATAGTAAGACAAAACTCCATCCTGGCGTGGCTGAGAATTTAATCTCATCGAATATTATTGGGAGTAATTTGCTATAGTTAAACGATTCTGATCCCCAAATTAGACACGCACATGATTTGGAAAAGCGCGGAGAACTCATCCGTGGTATCTTACCAGATAACTTTGAAGGAGTTCAGGTCAAAAAATTTATAAGAATAGGTGATAGGACCGATGACTGTTGAATCCCAATCATATAGACTCCTTAAGTCAATCCTAGTTTTGGAGAAGCAACGTGATCTTTTAAATAGCGCTCGTAGTCACGACAATATCGGCATTCGAGTAAGACCTAAAGAAGATAGATGAAGAGGAAGTCGGCACCAGCTGAACTAGAAACCCGTCGACCAAATGGTGAAGAAAATTTCCGATTAGTGGGTTTTCGAATAGTTAGATCTTGGGAGCGAATGCTAGACATAGGTGTAGGAAAGGAGGTGGCGTCGTTTTATACATAGCCAATAATATAAGTATCCGCTCCTTTGTTTGCGAATCCCATAATAGTGGAACTTGTGAAGTCATTAGCTGTGAGCTGACTATCTGATGTTGTACATTTATACTCGGTGTTATCTATCGCAGCCCAATCTGCTTACCTGATGACTTTATTTTACAGCACATTCAGCTATGGAGTGGAAATAACCGATGTTTGATATTAGGAAACTTTAATGCACCTGATATTAGTTGGACTGAAGTGGCCACGGTAGGATCTATGAACTTCCATAATAGTAGACTCCTGATAACGGTAATGGAGAATGCATTAGTACAGCGTGTATCCAGACCTACACGTTTTGGTGCAAACCAAGGTTCTTCTGAAGATATTACCAACCTATATACTCTTCCACCGTTAGTGAATAGCGATCAGGCTGTTTTGTCATTCACGTTTAGAGCTAGTGACATGGTATATAATGAGGTTAAGCCTCACCCCAATATATGGAAAGCTAACATATCAGCCATTCAGAAGTGCGCTGGTAAGACAGATTGGTCAGTAGATACTAGTTCATCAGCTGAAGTAGGGTTCATATTTAAAGGCAAGTTTAGTTAAGTTACATCCCCGTTTATACCATGTCTGATACCACGTAGACCGAATAACTATCCACCATGGGTGGGAAAAGCATTGAAATATGTTCATCTCTACTGGCTTAGAACAGCACAGATCCAGTTATTGTTAGATTAGAAATGCTTGTAAAGCGTTGATAAGTAAGACTAGACGGTCGTATGAAAACAATTGGTTAGATATTGTAAAAATAGTCCGAAACGGTTATTTTCGTATATAAGATGGCGAACTCCTAGAAGTGATGAAGTTCCATTACTTTTGGTACAATAAAATCCGTTAATTTTGGCAAGAGATGGTGCCGGTGGTTCTGATGATATTCATCCTAGGATTCTGAAAGCCCTATTGGATGTAATTGCTGAACCTATAGTCATACTGTTTGATGTGACTCTGCAGCAGTCCAGACTGTCAAGAGACTGGAAAGATGCAATAATTAGTCCGGTGTATAAGACGAGGTGTAGAGATCTAGTTAGTAACTATCGACCCGTTAGTCTAATCATTGCAGTTGTATAACTAATGGGAAATACTATTCAGATGGCTGTTATAAACTATGTGGAAGGGCGTAATCTTTTATCCAGGGAACAACATGGTTTTCGGAAAGGCCCATCCTGTTTGACAAGTCTGCTCGTTATAAGAGAAGGTTGGTCTACGGCAAGAGGTCGAAATGTTCCTGAAGATGTAATTTTCGTAGATTTAAGTTAAGCTTTTGATAAGGTCTCCAATTCGGGTCTTAAGTTATAACTGGAAAGTTTTGTATTCCATTATGAGGTCATAAACTGGATAAATGACTTTCTCTATGACAGGAGACAGGGTAAGGGTAAATGGAGCTCTTTCGTCGTGGAAACCTGTAAAAAGTGGAGTTCCCCAAGGCACAATCCTTAGTAATCTTCTCTTTTTACTTTATATAAATGAATTATCAACTGTAGCAAAGTCATCCGTTCTACTCTTCGCCGATTACATAAATATTTGGAGACCCATACACATTATGCCAGATAGAGTAGTATTACAGGATGATCTCAACTCATTGGTGGCATGGATGGACGGATGTTCTCTAGAAGTGAATTCTAACAAGAGTGTGGTGATGTAATTCAATAACTATGATGATTCGTATCACTACACAATACGTGGATTCGTGTTACCCAAAGTAATAAACTAAAGATTTAGGAGTCATAATAAGCAGCGATCTCAAAACTACGAGTAACTGTAAGGATGCTACTGGAAAAGACTATAGGGTATTATGGGCTATTCATAGGTCTTTTCAGTACTTGGATGAATAAATGTTTAGAGTATTATACTCAACTTTCATGAGACCGCATTCGGAATATGGGATTCAAGCAGCGAGTCCTTGTTTCAAGTGTGAGACGGTTATGCTGGAACGAGTCCATCGACGAGAGACTAAAGTGGTTTAATGTCTCTCTGGCCTATTTTATGAAGACAGACATCCAATATGAGCTAGAACCCAAATGTTAACAGTACTCAAGATGTATTGAAGTGTAAAACTCTGCCCATCACTCCCGTTGTATGTTCTTACCAGGAATCATCGTGCTGGTCTTTTTATTGATAGTGTCGCTGACGGTAATGATTATGATATTCGGTCGTCTTATAGTGCATATTATAGTCATTCTCGTAACTTATTACTTTCATTAACGTACACGGCATATTTTTGAGTTCTTTTAAAATTCTGGTTTCACCCATAACCCGTTGTATTTCAGCATCGTCAGCTTATTTCATTCTGTGGCTATCAGTAAAAACGAATCAGTTAGTCACAAATTACCTTTAAATGTCAGTTATGCAGATGTGTTATATTTCAGGCACATCAGTCTGTGATATATTTATTTATTCGAAGACAAATATTGATTCAAAGGGGCACCAAATACATATGCGCCATTCAATAACAATGAGAACGTAAAGAGATAGGGAATGTAAAGTTCGTATAAGAAAAACGAGAACAATAACGAACGGATTTTAGTGTATGATAGTGAAATAATAATAATAATAATTCTCCGTTAAAGAAGTTACGTTCATTTTTATGAAGAAATTTACGACTGAATCGTCACTGGCTTCTATTCTGAGCCATACCTGATAACGTCTCTAACCACTGTGTTGCACCATCTCTAGGACAGCACTGTCTTTGTGATGACTTATAGCCTCATCAGTTGGCTCGATGTTTCCTAAAACTCAAGGTTACTCACTCAATGGATAATAACTGGAACCTGTGCACGTCCTTTACTTTTCAGATACAAAACTTAGTCACTACCAAAAGCGTATCAAATAACCTTTGTCGGTCTATTTTCATGGTGTAGTCCAGAGATATCGGTGGTATCAGGTGTCCGAATTTGGCGTTATGGTATATAATAAAGAAATCTGAACGCATCCTACCCTTGGGAGACCAATCAATAGGTGATGAAGCCGCCAGCGAATTCATTGTTTGTTGACTAATCGGAATTTGTGCTACTAATTGTTCCTTCTTTTTCCAAATTAATTGACCTTTCCTTTAGTTTCGTAGTTTAGATCTAAGGAATTTAATGTGTATTATCAGACCCACTTTTATATGTTCATCTATCCAGACATTTGGTTGGGAATTTTGTGTTTTGAGTGTTTACAATTTGATGCACAATACGATTGTATTAGTCTGGATAATGAGATAATATTGTTTGTTCAATAGGGGACTACGATGCATACTCATGGTTCAGTTAAATGTTCTCTGGCTCCAATGGACGAAACGAACTTTTTCCGACATGTTTGAATATACTGTAAAAAAACGGGGACCAGAAAATGTTGCTATTTATTTTGAGGACCAAGTATGGACCTTTGGGCAGCTGGATGCGTATTCAAATAAAGTAGCCAATTATCTGGGGAAATGTGGTTTTAAACGAGGTGATATATTACTGCTGTTTATGAATTCCTGCCCGGCATATATTGGAATATGGCTAGGAGCAACTAAGGTAGGTTATCAGTTTCTTTAGAAGTTTATTTCGTGTTGTGGAAGTGATTTCTGTGATATTATGTCACTAATTTCATGTGTTACTTAGTAGTCATACTAATGTGTGTAGTTTAACCTACCGTAGTGTTTACTTTGTGCGTTTATAGTCTTCAAGGCCGCCACAATAGACCTGAGATCATCGGTGTGTGGCCTGAATGTCTTCTGTACCAAGTCAATGAACATTGGTGTTAAAAATGAACCCCTGATGTTTCACTAATTTGGAAGATTGATATTTCCTATCTTCGGACTAAAATTTATTTTCATATATACATGGTAATACAGCTATGGTTTAATTATGAAGTTCATCTAGTCATTTAGTAACAGTGAGGGCATCACCTAGATGCACTGTTTCAATAAAAGTATCGGACAAAATTGTATCAGTAATCTGCTGGAAGTTTACAAGAGCAGTATTAATTCGGAAGGATAATCGATTGTTTTGGGAGTATACCGCGATATGTATTATTGCTTAACAATTCTCAGGGCTTAGAAATCACTTCTATTTAGAGGTAAAGACCCAAGTAAACTGGTTTTGCCGTAGTAATCATTATTTGGAATTTTTAACAGACTCCAAAGCTTGAAATAGACAGTAGTGCTGATTACTTGTAGTATTAAGACTAGTGGGGAGATAATCGCATATGTGTAATGAGCCATTTATCTTGAAATGATAGTCAAGATGAGTAGTTTGTCATACTATGCTCCACTGAAGTTAAGCACTCTCAGTTTCTTATAGATCAACACTAGGAACTGGTCAGATTTTAAGTACGAGTCTACTGACGTCAAAGAATAATAGACAATATTGACTTGGCAAAACAGAGAACAGTTTTAGCAGTTTTACAGGTTATTTTTCAAATTTGGTGTAGCTATTCTCTAGATTACTTATAACACACCTTAAAGATGGCAATAAAACTAGTCGACAGTTAGTTCAGTATATGCTAGGTTAAGTTTACCTGTAGAGATACGGAATATTTTACTTAAGTTGATAGGACATCTGTTTAGTACATGCATCTAAAAACATCGGTTTCTCTCTAAGAATTGGTTTTGTTCGGAAAACATTTATTTACTCTCTTAATTTAACAGGTCGGTGTTGCGACTGGTCTGGTAAATACTAATCTTTGTAAAGGATCACTTATGAATTGTATTAAAACGCTGAGTGCACGTGGAATAGTTGTGGGTTCCTCTTTGAAAGAAACTTTTGAAACGGTCAATGAGTATAGTGATTTATCATTAGAGATGATATGGTTAGTTGATGAGAAAAGAAGTTTACCAGAAACTGCTTATTCTAATTCAACTTCTTCAACGTGTAGCTGGAACATAGCACTTGCACAAGTTCCACACTGTGCTCCAATTCCACTTCCACGAATTGCTAATCTCCGTGAACATTTGATCTACGTCTATACCAGTGGTACGACTGGTTTGCCTAAGGTAGTTAAAAGCTATGTTTACATATTTAATCGTTTTCGTTATTTCATTTTCATTATAGAATAAAATGATTTGTAACATGCTAGCTTCCATAACCATTTAGTACTTTATCACAGCTCAGTTTTCGATTTGGCTTTCTTTTTTTTTGACGGTATTAATCTTTAATCAGGTTCTATAACATAAATGTATTTACTACCGTCCAGATGTAGTTAAGTTTTATACATTCCCTTTATCTCTATAAATTTTTGTTAAAATCTAATGTAGATTCACTTGTTACTGGATTATTTCCATCAGCTCAAAATCTTAAAAGAATAATATTCAGAACAAAACAAGTGCATTTCATATCAGGAAATTTTCAATTGAGTTTGGGGTTGACAAGTGGTTATAGATTAGTAAAGACCTTTATTGTGGAACGACCATTTACATTTGAAGAAACCTTTAGAGTTATGAGGTATTAAACGTATTTTCACATATATTTGCAAATAATGAGGAATGTGCTTGACAGTTAGATTTTATAGTGAAAAAGTTGCGTTTAATTTGCTGAAGCGGGTCGAGTTGTTTGCAATTCATTTAACTAGTTAGATTGTAACATATTTCTTTTCGTGAAGTTATACTTCTGATTAATAACTATTCTATGGATGAAAATAACCCATAGATAGGCTAAATAACTTAAGATCGGGATTACATGTAATGGTAATTTGATTTAATATCTAAATATTGATCGGTGTTTGGTAGAGGCTGTCAAATAGGTCTAAAAAGATAAATATTGAAAACTCAATAACTCATCCCCTTAAACTAAGTAACTAAATTTTTTCTACGATGGAAATCTAAAAAATAACATGTAGATTTGTATTGATCAGTGCTGGTACTTTACTGGATCAGAGACTGCATTGAATTTCAAATGTACATGAAAATCACACCTCATACTGCGGTCTGAATACATTTTATTTCCTTATTTCCAAGTTTACTATTGATTTATCACCTCATCTATATCAATACAGGCTGCTATTATAACGAAATTACGCTATACTCTATTGGTTGTTGGTGCTAAATACTCATTTGGTATTCGGCAATCCGATATTATATATGATCCTCTACCGTTATATCATTCAGCTGGTGGAATATGTGGAGTCGGACAAATGTTATTATATGGTAATACAATTGTAATAAGATCGAAATTCTCTGCATCACAGTTTTGGTCAGATTGCGTAAAATATAAATGCACAGTGAGTTATTGCTATTATTATTATTATTTATTCATTCACATTTTTCGATATTTACTATTTTTAAATTGACAGTCTATTAGTCATTTGTTTGTTTCGCTAAACAGTTTATTATTGATGTCCCTAACTACAATGTTCATCTTATTTATACCCAGTTAGTCAATCATAAACAAAATAGAACCTATCAAATATGTGCATCGTTTGATGTTATTAAACTACATAAAAACGGCGAAATGGCATGAAGATGAATACCAAAGTAGTAGTAGTAGTATCAGTGATATTAAAAAAATAATCAGGCATAGATAATGAATAAATTAACAGGATTAAAGGTATAAAATAGTTTTGAAACTGGGAATCTAAAGTCAGTTAAAGAGTGAGTGCATCTGAGTTGCATCACCTATTTTAAAGAATATAAACGGAATAACGGAAATTACACGATTATGGATCTTACGCAAATATTTTATACACAACGAGCAATAGTGTAATAACGCTTTACTCGAGAACTCGAGGAAGATCGAAGAGAGCAAGACTAACCTATACGAAAAAGCTTCATTTTTGAAAAAAAAAGAAATTGTACTAACAACCACTGCTGATTAAATTGTGCCTGAATTACTTTAGAAAATATAATAGTTTACCTAATAAGGTAATAATATTTAAGTACTGATTAGGAGGGATGGACAAAAGTAGACTTGTGTTTGGTTTTCCGTCAGTGCACAGATTGATACGGAAAGATGGTAATTTAACTAATAGTAGTAATGATACTTTCGGTAACCTCATGATCTACTATCTTATGACGAAACAAACTCTCTAAGTTGCGTTCAGTGATCTGACAAGCTTAAATATTCGTCATTCCATCATTTTTTCTTTATTGACAACCAGTTTTTGAGATGAAGATTAGTTAAAACCGTAATGTCATCACTAACCCATTCAACACATGTTCCGAAGAACCTGAGGCTGCGAGGGACTAGGATTATCAACAGTGCAATAGCCCGGCATTTACTTGACACCGGGCACACCATCGACATCCCGCACGCCTTTAAAATTATCAACAGACAAAGAAGTACGACTGCTCTCCGTTTCGCTGAAGCAATCGTGATAAAAAAACTTAAACCGGATTTATGTATTCAAAAAGAGACATTAATAAACCTATTATTACCCTGGTAATCCGATTTTTTTCGTTAATTGGGTTATTTTATTCATTTATTTACTTTAAAATATTTGTGCTATATTCCTCCCCCATCACCTAATTCTTAAACCAACTTTTCATTTACACATTTCCACTCACTTGATCCTCTTAAATTGTGTTAACTTTTCAAATTCTATTTACTTATTACGTAACCTATCTTATCACTGTTTTAATTCCATGAATCCCTTATTACCTCTAAAATTATCACACAATTTATCTTATCTGTCTCTGAAATCCACTCAACTATTACACCATCCATCCTTAATGTTTCCTTGGTTATAACACCTAATAACCTCTGACCTGTTCTTGCATATATATAGTTATCATTGTAAACCTTTGTCATCCCAGTTATTTACATTCATTAATGTCAATTGTTTCACACTATTTCTTATCTCAATGTAAAATTCTATTACATATTTGGTTGTAAGCATTTGACGAGGAACCTCGAAATATTATGAATTCATACTATTCTGCATCAATATTTTTTCTTGCTTTATTTAAATACCATTCAACAGATTTTTTTAGAAGAAAATACTGAAATTCCTAAAAACAAGTCACGATTAAATATGTTTTAAATGAATTAGTACTTCCTTGAAGCGATCACTTAACTTTTAACCATTCAATTATTAATTCAAATACCTAAATTTATTCTTATCAGTCAAACTACAGTATCAGCCCATAAAAGAAAGTTAGTAATAAATAGATGTAGTTTACAGTGTATTATGTGAAATGATCTATTCTAACAAATATTCTATGTAGTTTCACATTTTTATTGCTCATCAATTTTGTAAAGAAAATATAATTATTTTACGATAATGATGATTGTATCGCAAAAATTAAATATCCTTCCATATCAATGGTAATAATCATTGGTTGTGGGTGGAAATAATTGACTACTTATTGAAATATAAACTAATCAAAATATAAGTATCATTACCAAGGTTTGATTTGATAATTTCGAATAAATTTAGCATTGGGTAAATTCTTATAAATAAATAATATATTTGTAATATCCCAATGATTAAAAAAAATTAGATTTTCTGACGTTTCGTGACTTAGTCAGAACAAGTTCTGACCTGTTTTTGATTGATCAAATATTATTCTTATTGTTCCGTTGTACTACTTGGATTAATTTTAATTTGGTTATTTATTCTCTGAAGAAGTGACTTACACTAAGTCACGAAACGTCAGAAAATCTAATTTTCTACTCATTGGGATATTACAAACGTATTATTTATTTATAATCAAAATATTCATTATAATAATGAATAGATTAGATTGTAATATGTTAAATCTTTGTATATATCATAGATTATAGTTGTATTGATTTTAAAATAAAAATGACATTATCAATTATGATAAGTGGACAATTGAGGTTATAATGATTTGCGAACGGTTAACCTACAAAAGACAATTTGAACAAACAAAACTCTCTAATTACTAGAACAAATTGTTATTTCACTCTTTTTTTCTCCCTTTATTGATTACTATTTTGGAATAGCCCTATTCACTCATCTCTCTCTCTCTCTCTCTCTCTCTCTATATATATATATATATATATATATATATATATATAGTCAGTGTCCTATTTAATTACATTTATTCATTGTTACATATTTAATTAATATTATCAGAGGGTATACAAAAAAAAGTGTAGTCATTTATTACTTATTAGCAATGTATCATATTATCAAAGTTCATTTTGTTTTAGAATTGATTAATTTACAAATCTGTTGTGTAATCAACACGTTTAGTGTAAAACGTTTTTTGGTATTATTCATAAAAGTTAACATAAGTGATTAAAAAAACAGTAGGTTATAAACTTTTTATGTCAAACATTTCATCAGTATGATTAATTTACAAATAAAAATTCGAATAGATGAATATTTGTCTTAATACGAATTACCGGATGACATCGATTGTTATACACTGTCAATATTATCTAAATGATAATTACATATTTTAACAGTGGTTTTTGCTTAGGGAGCCACATCCGAAGTCTTTGACCTAAAGATTTAGTTAACAAGACAGTGGAGTAACGTCAGGAGATGCAGTCCCATGGTAGCCGGTGATCAACAATCGGTTCAAACGTAATTTGTTCCTTCAAGTTCATGGAGCTCATGTACACCATTGGTTTGGAATCAGGGTTTTCCAACTTCCCTGGGTGGACTCTCTGTGTCCACCAACTCGGGTAAAGCGCTGGACATTCGCTTTTCATTCTTTCAATTTCGTAAACAACACCCCCACCACGAGAAGGCAATGAGTAGGATTTCCTGCCAGTGGTTATATGCACATAGTCATGTGAGAACATTTCAAGAGGGTGAGCGGACTCTCGTCACTCTCGAATGTACCAGGGCATTTGACGGCTTCTAAAATTCATATATTTCATATATTTAGTTCATCAAATAAAGTATTTATTAATGTGAGGATTTGAAAAAAAAAACCCAACTAAAAGCGTATACAATCAACTTAGGGTAGAAAAAAATATGTATCTATACATGATATTCGAAAGTGAAAATACAATCTTACCTTAGTAAATTATATTAGTTATAAGCAAAGATACATTTGTTTTTTTACTTATTTACACTAATAAACATATGAATAGTGTTTTAATATAATTTCAGATTTTTATTGGAAAAATTCTATTTCTAATTTTATTCTTTTAAAAGTAAGTCATTGGTATGTTTTCTCTCTTAAAGGTAGATTTTCAATACTTTAAATGTAGTCACAAGATATGGAAACGAAAACATGAATTTAATGTTTCCCATCTTATTTATATATTCGGTTTTTTACTTAAATGAACAAAAAGAAAATACACTTGAAACAATTAGTCCCTTTGATAAATTTCGATAATCCAATGAGAAGACGAAGTTTATCAGAATTATGTGGTGATATATTAGCGCATTACATTTTGAACAATCTGATCACACATATACTTTCCAAGACATTTTTATATGAAAATTAAAGGTCAACTAGACAGGTTAAAGGTAAGCCAGAACAAAGAAAAAAAATTAATGTACACAAGAACAATGTGATTACCACTCTCGATAATAAATCAGTATTATACACGTACTTCCCTTTATCATTTTGAAAAGAGCAAGAATAAACATTCTAGCAGAATAGCATGAATTCATTTTTAGTTCGTTGATTATCGTCAGCTACTTACAACCTGTGATATTTATAATCATAATTACATAATGGGTTTAAATTACTTACATGAAAGAGTTTGATTGGAAGTTAATGTTGAAGACATATTCGTATAGTATAGCAAGGGTGTAAATAAATTCAATAGACTGAATATTGTAAATATATACCTTCTGTAAAAGAAGGTTATGACAAAAGTTCGAACGGCTAGAAACAAGTAAACATTGATAGGAATAAAATGAGTAGAGTTCAGTTGATAAAATAAGATTATAAATTTGGAAGATAGTTAAAATAAAACTCAATGATGTGATAAGTGCAAGAAAGAGTTTAAAGAAAAAGAAAAAAAATATTAAGATACAGCGAAGGAATATTAGTCGCCAAGGCAAGGAAACTTAATAACCATCTCCTTTTGAACACATAAATCAGGATTTTGGCGTCTGATAGCAACTGCTTCAGCAAACTTCAGAAGACTGGGGTTTGGCTGCTTACTAATCACCTTGAATGATTATAGGGTATCGACCTGATGTCCTGTATCAAGGAGATGTTTGGTGATTGCACTATTTAGAATCTTTCTTTCTCTTGTTCTGAGGCTTTTTGGAACATGTTCAAAAAATCTGAGAAAAGCCCTTCTTTCTGTTCGGCCAATGTAACTACTTTGGCAGGTACACGTAAA